GTGGATATAACGCTGCGCGTTCATGTTACCTCTGATGAAGATTAAAGGTGACCTGGAACTATAAGCTATAGCACCCCAAACCATATCTCCAACAGTGTGATGAACATGTCTTTCAACAAAAAACTGTGGATTCCTCCTTTCACCACGTCGCTTTCTAACCCTGGCACGACCATCGTGCATGCCTAAACAAAATCGAGACTCGTCACTAAAGACAATACTGTTCCATTCCTGATCCCAGAGTGACCGTTGTCCGCACCACTCAAGGCGATTACGTCGGTGTTCTCGAGTTAAAGGGAGGACCCAGTGTGGCCGGTATGAAAACAAGCCAAAACTTCTCATTCGTCGGTAAACACTTCGCATGCCAATAGGTCTTCCTTGTTCTGCAAACCACTCATTTGCAATGGACCTGATAGTGGAGAAACGGTCCCTTAAAGCCAATAATCTTAGGCGGCGAGCTTCACGGTGTGTTGTTCTACGGCGGCGTTCAGTGCCCCTTGCTCTTTGCGTACGGCCTTCTCCAAGCCATGCCTGACAACACCTAACTGCATTGCCCGAAAAGAAAGTCCAGCTTCCCGAAGTCCCACTATACGGCCCCTATCAAACTCACTAAGTTGACGAAATCGTACAGGTCTCCGTACTCTAGGCATCGTAACCGTTCGTAAAGGATGTCAAGAACCAAAATCCGCCAACGTTGATTCTTCACTGCGGCTGAAATATTTATTTTTAGAGCGTTAGTGAATTAAAAAAAAGCAGTATAAAAACCGGAATGTCCAACTGATAAGGCTGAAAATTTTTTCACTTGTTATTTACAGTAAGATAAATACATTCACCAACTTTTATTAAAATAAAACCATTTAAACTGGGTGTTCGGATTTATATGTCACTTAGTATATAAAGGTTGTGATATTTTGACAGATTTATCTTGAAGTAGATTTCGTTATAGTGTCCTAATCAAGTTATTGAAGGGACGGTGGGAGGGGCGATCGTACCGACAATTCCTAGGTGCTTACCCAACTAACAATTATCACTCCTATTAGAGTTGCAAGAATGATTATACATTATTCCTTAAACAGCATTCTATACTGTAAGAACATTGGCAAAACCCTCTTAGAACTGCTATACAAGCGGAATGGGCACACCTAATAGGCCACTTCAGTCATTTAAGAGGTCGTATAAGGGCTGCAGGTAACAGTTATACAACAAAAGTGTAAGCCTCTTGCAGCCGCTATAGAACATTTGCGTCAGTGCAAGATTCAGTTTTTGTCAACTATACAACTATTATGTTACATGATTCTACTTTATTGCAACCAAACTATTTCTTATGTACTGTATAGATGAAGAAGAAGAGCAAATATGTTGCAGAAAGCAAATTTGCATTCCACACAACATTAAGCCAGTATCTTGGTGTTCAGGCAACAACAATAAAGAGCTTTTATGGCTGAACGGTTCTCATACCAAAAGCTTATACCACTACTTTGCTAGTTGGTTAGGGCGTGACTGAGTTGGAGTGTGAAGCAAAATTTTGGGTGGTAGATCTAAAATAATTGTTTGTCAGACTTTGGGCTTTATATGGAAGTAGGTTTAAGGTTTTGAATTTTTTGAATATCATAAATGTATCGATTGACGTTTACCATCTCCAGAAGAGAATAAATTCATCTCACAAGTGTGCAACGTAAGAGGGGTCCCAAATGATGTGTCTGGAAATATTTTATCCATTATTTGTTCTTAGAAACTAATTCGTTTTTTTGGAAATACAAGATAACAGATACTTTGATGATAGTAGTTTCCTTTGGCAATGATCACATGTATTTTCTTGGTGTACATTTGAAGATGACCATCTCCTTGCAGAGCTTTCACTGAAGCTGCCAGTCAACTCTTGACAGTATAGGAAATAACATACATAGCTTAAAACCGAAGATGTGGAGGAGCAAAGTTAGGTTCCCCTCGATTTACTCCATCTCCTTTGTTGTTGAAAGGTGCAGGTATTACGTTGTAAAATTTTCGAATAATCAAGATCCGCGAATGTAATTTTTATGAGGCTTCTTATTACGCGAAATTTGAATAGTTTGAAGAATCATCCACATTATGGAAACGGCAGGTATAGTAAAGTCGAACTCCTGCATTTTTTTTAATAGCCCACAAAGCATCCTTGCATTTGTTTTGAAAAATATCCTGTTTTCTTATCAAAAAGAAACACGGTTCTGCATGTCGCCTGCCACATTTGAACAATTTTCTTAACAACACTTTTCTTACTTTTTGGGTAATTCTGAGCAAGAAAGGTTGTTATGCTCGCGTATGAGGACGCCTTCGATTAACAACCAAAGAACAGAGTCTCTTTGATGGACGCTTGAAGAATATTTAGGAACTTTTCGTTTCTTCATATTGTTTTCCGGGATCAAAAATGGCACATTTTGGACTTTTTCAAACATTAAGTCGCTCACATGTCAACTTTAGAGGAACCTTCTTGACAACATAAAGAAAATAGAAACTTCGGAACTTGTTTAATAAAATGTTCAAGAATTACTATTGATTCTGTCACGGTACGGTGGCAAGAAGTCTAGTGTGATATCGTAGATGAGTCACACAGTAAGATGGAAGGACCACGTAAGGTCAGGCTAACAAATAAATTATTCATCTATGTGCTTGATAAATGAAACAACGAAATTATTAAGCAACACCTTGTTTTATTTATTATGTGACTAATATAACCTGTTACTTTATTCCAGAGTCAACCATTATTTATATTATTCAAGTATTAATAAGCTCTTCCGAACCGCCTTTCTGGGATCAGGACTCCATACAGTGCCCATTTTAGAAATCATCGTCGCTTAATTTAAAATTAAGGTTCTGATCAAAATATCTGCTTATATTATTCAAACTACGTATGAAGGGTTTTCATTATAATGGAATAATAAATACTTAGATACTATATTCTCATAGAAAGTACTCAACGAACATTATTGAACCGAACCAAGAATGGGATGCTATATCGATATCAAACGACTTGCCATTAACTTGCATAGTTTTGATTGAAGGGAAATCCAAACTGGCTCAAGTGACCTTCCTATATAAGACCAAAATGTATCAGATGGTGTTAATAATCTATAATCAAAAAATATAATGAAAATAATAGTGTGCTTACGTTTTGCTGCACAACTTTAACATCAACGACCGACGTTAACAAAGCGAATAACCACATCGATGGATCTAACTTTAAGTAGAAGGAATTTCTTATGGGGTGGCAATAACTACGACTTTTTCATAATTAGCTTCAAACCGAGCATGGCCTTCCATGGTTACGCCAGCCTTAGATGGTTACACAATTCTTTCCTGTTCAAATTTACCCCAAACCATCAATGCAGCTCCCCTGAGAAATATATCAGAAACACGCCTCTGATATACCGCATTCCTCAGCCTTAAAAATAGCCCCCGGGGCTATCCGTGACACATCTCCGTTTTCAAATCTCTTCATATTTCAAGTTCTCGACTATGCCAAGGTTTACGCTTAGATTTATGCGGGTCTATAACTTGCAGGCTATGACGTGGTGTGGAGCAATATTGGCGATTCCCTGCATGTGCCTTACAGGGTGATTCAGAAAACAGTGGCAATGTTTCGAGGGTAGAAAATACTTTTGAGGATAATATAAAAATGGCGTCAAGTAGGTTGACTCCGCACTGCCCACACATTGTAGGAAAAACAGTTAACTATTAACATGCACACTACCGTTCAAAAGTATTTGGACACCTAGAAAACAAGGAAAACGATGGAAATTGTTAAAGAAAACAACTATATGAAACATTTATTTTCTTAATTCTTAACAACATACAACTATTTGTAATCAAAATCACCATATTTTTGACTCATCAATATGTCCTCCTCTACTTTTAATTACAGCAATATTGGCAATCATCTATATGTATCTTTGTATGTATATGTGAGGAGCTTGGCCGATACACTTTCTAGTGTCCCATATAGGGCAGATTTATTGACATACGTGGATTTGCCACTGGATGGTCATTCGGAAATCTGCCATTTCACTACACTTACTAGAAGGCCGAAGCTGTTGGATCATCCTCGTGTTTTGATATTACTATGCTGGATTGAAAACTGTCCTGCTTATTGCGAATATTCAACCGACTACCATTTTCGTACATTATGATTGAGAAGAGACTTTATTCATTCGTAGCAAGGAAATATCTTGGAAGATGTCGCAAAACATTGTTTATGTCTTTTATTTAAAACAAAAGCTTTACGCTAACCTAACAACAAAAGTGCGTACCAAAACAGAACCGCAGAGTGTATTTTATGTATGTTTTTATTTGTGTATTTATAATGTACGCTTTATCTGTTTTTGAGTATGTATCTATCAGCTTTTAATATATTCTATTACTGTGGCAAATAGTTAAAAGGGCATAAGTCATTTTTTTCGACTTACGACATTTTGACGTATTCGTTGAGAGGACGGCTATAAGAACACTTCAGTAAAATTGTATAAGTAGATATATGAAAGAATCGCCATAAAAGTCAAAATAAAAATTGAAGCTAGCACCAGATTCGTCTAGTCTGGTTGGTAACAAGGGCTCAAGTTGATTTATGTATATATGAAGTCATTTATACATTTACTACCAAAGGAGTAAGTATACATACTATGTGGAGAAGATCCATTCTACGGGCATAAGTCAACGTCACCCGTTTCAATTAAATATCGAATGAAGAATTTTTCAAACTGAAAGGGCATATGTCTACCTAGGCCATCTAGGTATTAGGCACAATAATACTTATGCCTTTCTTATTATAAGAAATAACCTTCTAACTGACTAAACGGATAGTTCCCGCGCTTTTCAGTTAGACGTAACCTTAAAACAAAGTGTAGGATGTTTACATTTTTCACAAGTAATTATTTATTCAGTTATTATGTTTTATAACATTATTAATATAAGCTAAAATTGATTAAGGGCTGTTAAAAATGGTTAAATGTCGTGGTGGGCGAAATCAAAGAATGCTAGATGTGTGTAGACGGCAGATTGAGTCAAGTAAGTGTACAGGTTACGGCGGCGCAGATCTAGTGAGACAAAATACCTATTTGATTTCAGGCAATGACAGTTACGATCCTCACAATTCTCAAAACGAAGAATCGCAATTTGAAAATGACCGAAAAAACTTATCAGAATCGTTAATCGGACAATCAGGTAAGTCACATTTGTTGACAGAGATATTCGATTGTATACTTCATAGCTTCAATTGGAATCGTGCTAATCGTTCCAAGTTTAAGTTATTGATGAAAATGAATTATATAGGATGTTTCATTATTTTTCCAGAAAAAAGAGTCAAGTTGAGTGTTGATGAGATGTTGAGCAATCCACCTGTATCTAATGAGCATGAAACATACATATTTCGACGCGCTGGATTTCCAAGGCCTCAATTTTCCTTGTGTTGATGAATCTCTGGTAGTATCCGTAGCAATTGATGATCTGGTAACGGAGGGTAAGTTTTTTTGATTCTGTTCGTATAAATTCGTTACTTGAAATATTGTATTTGAAGGAATATATCTACAAGATCAAGAACTGCCATTGATTACAAACAATTGCATCAAGGATGTAGAAACTAATCAACAGGATAACGAAATTCTTCAAGCTGGAAACGAAAATATAGAAAGTGCAAATGAGAGTGGAGATAGTAGCCAAATGGTTGATAATATAGATGATGATGTACAGGTAACTCAAAACGGAAGTAACGTCAAACCATTTGCAGTTAAGAAAGTTAAAGAGCGCAAAAGTAAACGTAATTTAGGAATAAGTTATTGTACTATAAAGGGCAAAATTATTGAATCCAGGAGACTTAAGCCCTTGAGGGACAACTGTAGAAATAACTGTAAAGATATTTTAACGGAAGATATGGGGAAACAAATTTTTGACGAGTATTGGTCGTTGGGAAGTCATGACCGTAGGGTGGCTTTTACTGCAGGATTGATAAAAGTCCAAGAAAAAATGTGACAAGACGAAAAATTGAAGGCAGAGCAACAAAAAATAGGAATAACACATACAAGTATAAATTATTTGTAAGAGGTGACGAAAAAAATGTCTGTAAAGTGTGCTTTTGTAGTACCCTAGGCGAGACCGAAAAATTCGTAAGGTGTGCTGTGGAAAACAAGCTGTCTTCAACTAGCGGAATCACCCTCAAAGACCTGAGAGGGAAAAACTCACCTCCCCACAAGACGCCAATATCGAAAATCAATGAAGTTAAGAAACATATAAATTCCTTCCCAGCCTACAAAAGTCACTATTCCAGGCGACATTCAGATAAGAAATATTTACCATCTGATCTAAATATCAGTATCATGTACAAGTTGTATTGTGAACAGCACCCTGGAAATCTGTATCTTTTACTATCTATAGAAATCTGTTCCATACCATGAATTTGAGGTTTAAAAGACCCAAGATTGATACATGCACAAAATATGATACACTTAACGCTAAACTTAAGTATACGATTTCTAACAAGGAAAATGAAAAGAAGCAAATAGCAGAATTACTAGAAAAACATCAAAACGAGGCAGAAAATGCGTATAAATCTAAATCATTGGACAAAGAAAAATACAAACTCAATGAAAAATGTGTGACCTACGATTTTGATCTTCAGCAAGTCTTACCTACACCTTATTTAACATCGAATAAGATGTTCTATCTAAGACAGCTATCAACTTATAATTTAACCATTCATAATTGTTCAGATGGAAAATCGAGTCACTTTATGTGGCCCGAGAGCACGGGTGCTAGAGGAGCAAATGAAATTTCATCTTGCATTTATAGATTCATCAAGTCAATCCCGGAGAGAACAGATCACTTAATTTTCTATTCCGATACATGCGGTGGACAAAATAAAATTTTTATTGTTATGAACATGTTTCAGTACGTTGTTCATACTCATGCAACCGTTAATAGGATTGACCATAAGTTTTTGGTTCCTGAGCATACGCATTTAGAGTGTGATATCGATCACTCGGTGATTGAGCGAGCCAAAAAAAAGACTTCAATTAGTATTCACGTTCCAAGAGATTGGTACCAATTAGTGAGAACTGCGAGCAAAAAAGAGAAATTTTCTGTTTTTCCTATGGAAATTGACCATTTTTTGGCGTTTTCGGAATTATCCACAAAAGGACCTCTCCAGAAAAAAAAAATCAAAATAAGAGATATTCGTTGGTTAAGGTACACTAAGAATGCCACAGTGGCCTACAAGAATAGTTTGAACGAAGAGGAACCATTCATAGAGGTTAATTTATTCAGAAAGGGGCATAACCCTTCAAGTCTAAAGGATACTCAATTAAAAAAAGTTTATAATGACCCACGGCCTATCAGCAGCTTGAAGAAACAAAATCTGGTAGAAATTGTTTCTGCTTTAGTCAAAGAGGTTCAATCATACTACAATAAGTTGAAAACTGATAAAAAAATTGAGGAACATACAGATCCAGATGTAGATAAGTATCTAACTGATGATGAGGAATGCATTCATATACAGGGTTATCCAAATTAAGTGTCCACCATTAGTAACTTTGTTATTAGTGAAAATACAAAGTTGTTTGAATTAGCAAACTAGTAGCATTTTTAACGCTGGTAAAAATGAGAAATAAAAAAAAAACAATTGAGAGTCGTTATTTTGATTTTTTTCAGTAAAATAACATTTTTTTAAATGGAAACCCCTGTATATTATATTTTTTTCTGTTAAAGCATCAAATTTTAAACAAAAAAGCTTACAATAACTTTTCTCCTAGGTTACAAATTGTTGAAGTTATGGCCTCCAATCTGAAACAATTAAATTGTATCGACAAACTTTATTTTCAACATCAATTTATAATCTTACAAAATACAATAACAATTTTTTTTTAAAGAAGATGCTCGAAAACACCACCTTGTTCTTCAATACATTTTTGGGCACGTTTTTCAACTGCTCGAACTGTCTTAAGTATGGTCCTACCATCTGTCTGGGTTATCTTTTCCCTAACTGCAGTCTTTAACGCGTCAAGGTTATCGTACCTTCGCTTGTAAATTTGGTTCTTTAAGTAACCCCACAAGAAGTAATCAAGAGGGTTTAGATCTGGTGATCTGGGAGGCCACTGTATTGGGCCATTTGTTCCTATCCACTGATCATTAAAAGTAGTACTTAGAAAATGATAAGTACCTCTGGAGTTGTGGGCAGGTGCGCCATCTTGCTGAAAATGCAGATGATGTCTACTTATAAGATCCAATTCGTCTAAGAAATTAGTCAGAATTTCTGACATAAATTCCACATATCTTTCACCAGTTAGGGTTCCCTCATAAAAGAACGGGCCAACAATTTTTGAACCAATTATACCGCACCAAACGTTGAAACTGAAACGGACTTGTGGGCCTCTTGGATGTACTAACAAAAGATTTTCTCTTGACCAATAATGGTGGTTTTTTCTATTAAACATTCCAGAATTTGAAAAATTTGATTCATCTGTCCATAAAAGGTAACGAAAGTTATTTACATTTTGGCGACAGAAGCTAAGATACCAATGGCAAAAAACAAGTCTTCTCTCTGGATCCCCTGCCAAAAGCGTTTGAACTGGTCGGTACTTATACGGAATAAATTTGTATTTTTTTAAAATCCTTTGAACAGTACCATAACTGAAATTAGAGTCCTTGAGAATATCTGCTATTGAATTCTCACGATAAGCTTCAAAATATCCAATAACTGCAATTTCCGTGGCCTCGCTTATTATGAATTCTTTTTTTGCCCTTGTTTTAGCAAAAACATTTTCGTTGCCCCTAAATTTTCGATAAAGTCTCAGAAAATATCGTTCATACGGTTGAATGCGAGCGGGATATAATTCACTGTAGTATTCTCTTGCTCTCAAGGAGGATTTTCTGCACACTAAATAGCAGTCTAACATATCACACTTTTCTTCATGGGAGAACATTTTTCTTTAAATTAATGACACAATAAAGCTTATAAACAAGTATTTACACTAATGTTTGACATTATTTGATTTTATCATTGTTTTCCAAAGCCTTCTAGTTGCGAGTATGTCCAGTTTAACAATTTGTCGCTTATCTTAATGCTGTCAAATCGCGAACGCCGTGTTGTTTTCATAGCCGTCTTAATATTATAATACTGCAAATAATTAAAAATATTTATCGTTATTTTGACTTTATTTTTGACTTTAGCGGAAAAGTCATTATGAACTTTTTTGTTTAAAATTTGATGCTTTAACAGAAAAAAATATAATATACAGGGGTTTCCATTTAAAAAAATGTTATTTTACTGAAAAAAATCAAAATAACGACTCTCAATTGTTTTTTTTTTTTTCTCATTTTTACCAGCGTTAAAAATGCTACTAGTTTGCTAATTCAAACAACTTTGTATTTTCACTAATAACAAAGTTACTAATGGTGGACACTTAATTTGGATAACCCTGTATATTTTATTCTTATTTGCTTAGTTCTATCTCGTACCTGATACGGAGAAAGCATTGTCTCTTAATTTCAATTTATTTCATTATTATATGTTTAGTTTTTTCTTGTACTTGATAAAATTACTATTACTAAGAAAGACTGTTTGTTGATTTTATTATAAAGTTTACCTATTTTGAGTTATGTTCATAAAAACGGATGTCTATGCTAATAAAACTTATTATATCCATATCAAAACATGTTTATTTATACCCAAAATACCCAATTACTGCAAAAAAGCCGAGTAGCATGTTCACTTGAGCTACTTTAACTGAAACAAATAGCAGAAATTGAATGAAAATATATAGACTCTCACCATAACAGATATTGTGGCATGTCTTGTACTAGGTCGACTTATATCCCTTGGATCATTTTTTTCTATGAATATGTTGTTTCATGCCGTTTTAACCATAACAAATTCAATTACCCTATTTGACAAAAAAGGCATATCTAATAATTTTATCATTCATCTTTCATATCTGTATATTTTCTTATACTATATGGTTCAGGATTTAATGACAGAAAATTAATGAAACAGGTTTTGTACCATTTTTCCTAGCCACGCCAAAACTAAATCAATATAAAACCTGTCAAAACTTTGCCGCCATTTTACCGAAAACAACAAACATATACATAAGCCCTTTCAACTATTTACCACAGAATACATATGTTTCTTCTTCTGATGAGCCCCATACAAGGTGTTTTTGTCTGACGGATAATAATCTATTGTTTCAGTGCCCCTGTGTCAAAGTCGACTTGAGGTGCTATAATCGTCGAACCATGGTGCTGAGACAGTGGTGTGTGCTTGTTTTGGGACAACTCCTTTTAGAAGCTCTCTCGATCGCTAAAGGTGAGTCTGTTATTTATTATATTTGCCTTGGATACTTCTCTCTTCGCGGTAAAGAGCAATGCATTTTCCTGTTCAACAATAACCGCTCCTTGGAAATTGGCTTCTACAGAGTGATATTAAAACAACTATGTGGAATATTCAGTATGATGTAACAACTATACCTGATGGAAGAACATCCTAGGATAGTTAATTAACCTAAGTTATTTGGAGTTTGTAACCCGAGGAACGGCAATAAAATTAGCTGATGCATTTTCTTCCCAATTCTGAAATTTCAACAGTTTCGGTTTTCGATCTAGCTACGTGCTGCACAGGTGACCACCCACGTATCCTTTATAGTCCCCAGCTGTACGTGAACTCAATAAATCCTAATTCAAAGTAACCCACGTTTGCTCTACCGTTTAAAAGCACGACATCGAATATTGAATTAGTAACTTTTCGAGTGGACTAATTGGATTAGCTCAACATGCTTCTGATTAGTCGACATTAAAGGGAGTATATTTCCTCGTTAGGCCGGCATTACACTGTAAAAGTTCTTTGACAAAGATATCTGATAAAAGAAGTTGTAAAAGAAATGCGACAGGGTAATAGGAAACTTTTATAAAAGATATTTAGCCTCTTCATCCTATATTTGATAAAAGATTTTTCGTAGTTGTGTCAAGATGGGGGAAGACAGATGGTGTGTGGCGTGCCGATGGCTAGAAATCGCAATGTTACCAGTGCTGATAGGGTTTCGTAAATGTGTCTTGCCCATCCATTCTCAAAAAGTTAAGACAACTTCTCTGATCTTTCACTGCGAGCTCTTGGACCAAGTTATCGTAGATCAACTCACGGCCGGCGATCCACGGTTTTACTCACAGTCGCTTCTTTTTCGTTGTTAAAGCCACTACAATGGCTACCGACGTAGAACTAGCTGTGGCAGGAACCTGAACGTCGTCGTTCATAACTGTATTTGAACTACCTTCTTAAAATAGTTTATAAAATCTTTAACGTGACGTAATAGGCTGTATGGCAACCATAATATTTCTTTTATGTATAACTTTTGTAAAAGCAATTTATAAAAGATCTTTGTCAATGAACTTTTATAGTGTAATGTTGGCCTTAGATGGGGAATTCTGATAAAGGTAGTCGGATTTTTAAAAAATCACAGGTAGAAAGCGAGGTAGAATCATGCTCAGCTGAAGCTATATGCAAAAAATGTCGTCAAGTAGGTTGGCTCTGCTCTTAGATAGGCTGACCTCAGTTCATTGTCTAGAATGCCGTTTTGTATTATGTGAACCAATCCGAATTATAATTAACCTATGACCAAAACATCCTTCTCAAAACTATGGAAATGTGCTAAAATTTGCCTAAATCTGAAGTCACATCCAATATTCGTAACTACAGGCAGGTATCGCTATTATTTTGAGATTATTTTATACCAAACGATAGAGAAGCACATCGACAACATGGCTATCTTCAGTAATTTTACTATAGATGTTGACACCTTATATACAGACCTTTTAAAGGCCGAAAGCCATTCGATCTCATTATTCACGACATTTGACTACTGAAACTAGGTGGACTTGGTTTGGTTCCTGATCACATCCGATTTTTCCAATCATACTTAAGCAATAGAGAGTATTTTGTAGCATTCAATGGTCCAGACTATACAGGGTGTTAGGCAAATAATATTCTTTACTTTAAGAGGTGATTCCTTGCATTATTCTAAGCAAAACAGTTCATTATAACCGAAAATCAACTGTTTCGAAGCAAAAAAATGATGAACTTATTTCTTTTTAGTCATGAAATAACCTAATTTTGCACCTTAGTAATTTAAATTCATATGCCTAATAGCGCAAAATGTATCAATACACCTATTTATTAACAAAATAATTTTCTTGTTTATTAAATAAAGTTTTTCGAAGAAAAACAGACAAACAAAATCCCTCACACAACTGGCGACGTCGTGCACCGCCTGCACTGCGTGTATCATCGCGTGTTGTGTTTACTAATATATTTAACTGTAACTTTATGTGATTTATGGATGTTTTTTTTCTTTTTTCGTGCATAGCATCGTTTCAAATAAGCGACTGATAATCGTGGAAATTGGTGGTGGATATCGCCACGTACCGGTGAGTTCTGTCATTTTTTTTAAGTAAATGTACTGTACTAGAAGCTTTATTAAATAAAAAATATTAGCCACAAAAAACTGCGTAAAAGTATTCAATAATTCAAGGCATATTTTCAACAAAAATATCATACAAATGTAAACAACTCGATGAATCACTTGCGGTCGCGGTTGCGATGCAGCGTTGCCAAATGTTTGAGAAAATCTAATTGTTTACGACTCACTTTCCTCGAAAACAATTGATGTTCGAACATAAGTTATAATGAACTTTCTTGCTTAGAATAATACAAGGAATCGCTTCTTAAAGTTACGAATATTATTTCTGTAACACCCAGTATATTGCTCATACTAGAGTTCCGCAATGATCAAACTGACTTATCCTTTGTTTATTGTATACGTGAATGATTTATATTGTTTATAATTTTACTCCGAAAATGTATTTCAAGGCCAACTTTCCATTTATCGCACTTTCGTTTAAGATAACTATTGAATCGTATCTACGAGTATATGGTTACCTCTTTTGGTGTTCAAGAAAGATATTAGTTTCCACAATACGATAATGTGGCTGCGAAGGTGTTTTCATTATAATAATTACATCTTTATACTGTTTGACTTTAAAAGTATCAGCAAATTGTCAAAGAACGTGGAATGAAAAAATACTGTTCCAGTCAACACTAAAGTCAAAGCTACAATAAATTAGATAATACAAACATAGTGTACACAAAATAACATCATAAACAGATAGATTAAAGATATGTGAATAACTAACAAATAAACAATTAAATGGCAGACGAACATGTTGAAAACACATTAAAGATAAATCGTATGCAGTAATACAATTCACAAGTCTGATGTTAAGTATTTGTCAATGCTCTAAACGGTGTTTACCATAAATAGACTTTCAACGCGGAATTCGAAAAGATTGAAATTGGCGACAGGTCTGATAACAATTGGCAACTTATTGAACAATCTGATAGGCATTATGATTGGACCCTTTGCTGATAAAGCGAGGCTACGTTGAGAGGTACGCACACAGTATGTATTCCTTAGATTGTAACCACTGTCCACATTGCTTCACGACTCATATTTGGCAAAGTTTTTTCGAACATGACATACACAGTTAAAGTTGTGAGTATTTGGTCATGATGTGGAGAGTTTTAGTAGCTCCCGGCAAGTAGCAAATCCGGCGTATGTGAGCTGCAAACGATACAGTAATTCATAGCGGAGTGTACGTGAGTAAAATAGTACATCCTAAGCACTTCAGTACTTACAAACTCATTTCACTGGTCAACAAAATTTTAACTTTGTCGTGCCACACGGACTTTTTTGATACTTTTTACTTTAATTAGTGATTGTAAGAAAAAATAAACAGTTAAAAAAAAATTGCTAGACAAGGATTTTATTCTATTGAGTAATTTAAAACATTAAGAAAAAACACAGATCTCGTAAATCAAAAGTTATTTTTTTTTATAAATGACTTAATGATCTAAGATTTTCTTGGATATTTAGCTTCTGGTTGGTCCCTTTTAATTGTCCAGCAGTAATCTGCTAACATATCTGGGCTCCATTTGCCCTGGTACCGCTTTTCCATATTAGAAATGTCCTGATGGAACCTCTCACCGTGCTCGTCGCTGACAGCCCCTAAATTGTCAGGAAAAAATCCAGGTGCGAGTCTAAAAAATGGATCTTAAGTGACATGTTGCAACCCAATGCTTGATATGACAATAATAGCTCGCTAACCAACTCTCTGTAGCTGTCACTCTTGTGGTTACCCAAAAAATTTGCAACAACATTTTTAAAAGCCTTCCGTGCAGATGTTTCTAAATCGCTTAATTTTTCTTCAAATCTTGAATCTTTTATTAACTCCCTAATTTCAGGGCCAACAAAAATACCCTCTTTTATCTTTGCATCACTTATTTTAGGGAATTTTTCTTTTAGATACAAAAATCCACTCCCATTGGGATCCATTGCCTTCACAAAATTTTTTATTAATCCTAATTTGATATGCAATGGTGGTAGAAGCACATTATTTGGCTGTTCAAGGGGTAAATACTTTACGTTTTTTTGCCCAGGAACTAACGATGCACGCGTAGGCCATGTTTTTTTTATATAGTGATTAGTTCTGTCTCGACTATCCCATTCACAGAAAAAGCAGCAAAACTTTGTATAACCCAGCTGAAGTCCAAGTAATAGTGCAACAACTTTAAGATCACCGCAGATTTTGAGGGAGTATGTACTGTAATTTATTTTTTCAAGTAAAAGTTAGGTTTCTTTCATATTTGCAGCATGGGCCAGAGGTACAGACGGAAGCTTATTTCCATTATGCAATAACACTGCTTTTAGACTTGCTTTCGAAGAATCAATGAATAAACGCCACTGAGAGAGATCAAAATCTATGTCCAACATTTTCATAATCTCATTTATGTTATTGCAAAACACCAAATCTCCATCCTGAGAAAAATACGTTCTGATGTGTTGATCACGGTTTCGAAAATAGCTAACTTTTGTATTATGATGTAGCAAATTCCATTCTTTTAGACGTGATCCTAATAGTTCTGACTGCTTTTTTGACAAATTTAAATCCCGAACCAAATCATTTAGGTCTCCTTGAGTTATCAAATGTGGCTCGTTTACAATTCCTTTTAACTCAAAGTCATCGTCCTCGACAACACATTCACCTGAAGTGGACGGTTGTGAATTGTTCTCAACAGACGTAGTTGCAACTGGTATTAGTTCTGGCAATTTTTTACAATAAGAGACTGGTCTTATAGCCGAAGATAAGTTAGGGTAAATAACTGTGGTTTTTTTCTTGTAATTTATACCTTTTATGTCTGTGAGACAAAAATAGCAATCTGAAACGTGATCTCGCTGTTCAGTCCATATCATGGGTACA